TTAACGATTGTAATTGGTTCCGTAGAAAATTAAGGTTAAGTGTCTATATTGATTTGAAATTCTCGTGGCGTTAGCGTTTTTTCTTTGCGAATTTTGACCTTCGATTCACGTCTATCGCTATTAAATGATTGTTTTTATTTTCTTTGTTTTTCTTTGAATGATTTATTGATGTATTTCATTTTTTGATGGTTTTATGATAGCTTGCTGTCGATACCCTTAATTGTAGGTTTGCTAGATCAGTGCGTGAAGTGACTGATCATAAGCAATAGGGGATGTAATTATTGTTTCGGTGAACGATCGCTTTCATAATTATGACTTAGAGAGCTTTAGACAATGGTATGTTATTAGATGAAAGCTTTAGAATCACACACGTCACTGTATTTGAGCGTTGAGTGTTTGTGAAGCTGACTCGAATGAGTGACGCTTGATTTGATGCGCTTGAAGCAAGTAATAATTAACGAAATCCCCTTCGTGAGCCAACGGCGCTTAGTAAATGCTTTCGTTTCGTTCTCGTCAAAGCCTCTTCTCTATCATTGCTGTCATTCGCGATAAGCTGCCGACTCGTCTTGAATCTCGCGTCCACTTAGACGATTGTTTTGCGTTTGTCAACTGTTTGATTTATGTTTCTCCAAGAAATTTTCATCAAAACGTTCTCAATTTTTGTTCAGTGAATAAATTTCTAAGCGTATGAAATACTACTAGCAGACAATACATGGAATTGGTAGATGTTCGTGCACTTTTCGAAAGTATGAAATGTTTTTGGTGCAATCAGTTTCGAAACGTTTGCGTGATATGTTTCGGTGGAATGGATGAATCATAGCGATTTGCAAACAACTAGGAAGATTTTTTGTGCATGGAACATTCGATGTTGTTGTACAGGCATGGCTTGGATGATGACGAAGTTGCAGTTGAATATTGACAAAAATGAATTTGCAAGTGGAAATATTAAAACTGATCGTTTTAATATTCTAACAAGTGTGCAAACTCAAATGTTTGTTTAATATGCTAGACATGAAGTGCAATAAAACCACAATTATGTAAACATATTAAGCGTATCATCATATCATCTGTTTGAGGTACCATTCAAATGATTAATCAGATTTGTTGACTCAGTAGCACATTCCTGTCATTAATTTTCTCATGTATCTTTTTTTTCTCCCGTATCTTAAAAACGATCACCTCATTAATTTCTCATGTATCTTAAAAACGATCACCTCATTAACTTCTCACGTAAAAAAACACTGTATTCGCATCGCCATTCTGTTCATATAGCGACAAGAAGATTGTCATCTTCTTGTCGCTATATGAAGCCCCGCTGTGGTAGCTATGAGACATTGTCTGCTGCTGTATGCAATTGATTCCTCTCGGTCTGAAAGTGCTCCTAAATAAGATTACCACAAAGAAGCAGTACTACAGTAGTCAGCTTAATTTCTTTTACTCTTTTACTCCAACTTATCTTACTTTAAACAACGCTTTGCAATTTATATCACTATTAAAGACTGTTCGAATCTTATGCAATTGATGAACTCGAATTTTAATCAAATTTTTAAAGTGAATTCATCATCCAATACCAATGGAATATATTGGAGAATATTACTTCAGCACTGAAATTTTTAGCGATATTTTGTCGTCATTCGTTTGTTACGTATTCGTTTTTTGTATCTTTTAAGTATTCAAAGTCAGCGTTCCAACCGCATGTGAACTTTTTGCTGTTTTCTGAATGAATTCGAGAATGATACAGCTCTTTTTTTTGTAGCGTTGAAAATAATCTTCTCTCATTATCTCATAACGTTTACAAGCGAATTATTGAATGATAAAGATTTTATTGCTGATAAGGATTAATGAACAAATTCCTGGTTTTGTTTTTGTTTTTGACAGTTTAATGCACGCATTCTCTAAATTTTTGAACTTCCTATTTGATTAAATTTTTGTTTTCCTTTCCAACTTTTTCCCCCGAAAAAAATTCAATACATTCGTCTTTTATCAAGCAGAAACAATTTTTAATTTGCGTGATTCTGCAACATTTGTTGATCAGCCTATCTGAAAGTTTTTGATTTTGATCGAATATGGATGTAGAATTAGGCTGCTTTCTCGTTTGATTCTGGTTCTTTACTCGTCCGATAGTTAGAAATGCAAAAAAAAAGATGCATTAGAGAAGATAAGTACACCAAGGATATTTTCATGGCTTATTGTAACCTTATTACGAATCTCATTTTCAGATCGTTTCAGCATACTTCGAAACGATGCGAATGTGTAGTGTAGCTCATGCTATAAAAATATAATAAATATTCTCTGCTCCTTATCCTTTTTCTCTAAAAGTTCTAAACGCTTCTGAATAACGTTCAGAACGTTTTCAGTTGCGTTCGCAATCATTCATTTATGCATTCTTGTTCTTTTATTTATTCTCACTTATCTTTCAAAATATCTCATCTGAAAATATCTCATCTTGTGGTTTATTTTTTTCCAATTCTCTGACCATTAAGTGCAATGACAAGCAGTTTTTTAAAGACTTCAATTAGCAATAAATAAAAACTGAATGCTAGATCATGAAAAGAATTGAATTGAATGCAATAAATGAATAGTGCGATGCAGTGAAACAATAAACAAATGTTCGAAGATAACAGTCGTATCGAGTCATGCATTCCATTTATCATGATTGAAGAGTATCGATGGTTCGTGTTATCGATGTTGTTGTTACGATTGCGAGTAATTGTATATCATTTCACATATTCATTGTGCTGAATTGCTAATATAACCAATTGTACAATGCTACCGCTGATGGAGACACTTATTCATGGGAATTTGCTGTAATAGGCAATTAGAATCAGGTATTGCTGATTTATATCAGACAGACTGTCTTCTACATGTAGGTTTGGTTGTTTTTCATGTCACTGGATATTACGATCAATAGCCAACCTCAATGATAATTGCATAAGTGTGTGCAAATAGTGATAATTTAGTGCAGGCGTTTAATACCTATCATGGTGATAGATTCAAAAGAAACGTTCCATCGTTCATAACATTACCCCCGCCAAGCTCATTACGTCTTCTTTTGATTGATACTATACAATTCATTCATCATTCACACATAATTATCATACGTTCGTGTGTGCACATTACCTGCATAATATCCATCCTGTGTCCTTCTGTTCTCCAATGAATAATAATCATTATTCATCAGGTATTTTATCATATCATTTATCATACAAATTCACTCCAGTAACGAATCATAACTGACTGTCATCTCTTCTCACTGACTCTGTATATTGTACAACAACAGTAAGCATGCGCAATAACAATGTAATCCTATTCTGTTATTTGTTCATTCATTCAATTATTCATGAAGCAATTTATGTTCATTCAGATTCTGATATATTTACCAGTTTAGATGATTCACATAATTGATGCGATCATTGTTATCAAATTGAATGAAGACTACTTAAGATCATATTAAATGGTGTCTCGTGCACAACGAACGCATCCGCGTTTTTGCCTCTTCAGTCGGTTTGACTAACTAACGTAGTCTTATTCGAACAAAAAATCGTCATTGCCCTCAATCTATTTCATTAGTTCATTTACACGATTCATATTTCTCTTTTAGACTTCGATTTGTATGATAAATATTGAATTTGGTATGATACATGATATGCATGTTGACATATTTATGTTCATTCATTCACGTGTTAGTTGCTTGATTATTTGTCTATCCTGTTTATATAATATTCGATATTATTGATGCCTCATTTAAGTGGGTCATATTGTGATTGTTAAGTATGCGGAATGTGTTTGAGATGTAATTGGAAGGAGCGATATTGTCGAGTGATCATCGATACAATATCATGTCCTATTGAGTAGACGCGATGATTGCCTTGACCATGCAGCGTTGAGTCGGCCTTTGAGATGAATGTTCCACGTCAATTCGGTGCTGAAATGAGTGATTTTGGTTATATTCACTGATCGAATCTCTTTTCTGTTATCGTCTTCTGATGCACTTTTGTTGCCTTGAACTTGTAGTTCCTTTTTTTGCGTTCCTCGTAAAGAATTGCAAATTTTGAGTTGAGTAATTGTTGACTGATAACGAACTAGATCGCCTGCTACGTATCAATCAGTCGTTGATATTTGTTGTTTATATTTATGTCCTAGCAACAGTCTCTAGGTTAATTGTTGATTAACCGAACAAACATTTTTGCGCAACGAGATTCGTACGGTGATGAGCATCGCATTTGACATTTCTGAATAATTTTTCAGTCTTCAAAATGAATCACTCGAAAAAAATTCTTTCAACGAAAAAATAATTTTTGCGAAAGTGCTCGAAATTATTCTCCATTCTGAAAGTATTCCTTGTAAGTATGAAAATCAGATTCCATAGCAACAACAAATTTTATCGTTTGTTGTTGAATCAGTTTCTGAGAACAAAACATTTTGAAAAATCAAAATCAGTGACGAACGAACAATTTTGTTTTTTGGGGAAAATAGGAAAATGCAACTGATGGATGTGATGGTGGCAGTTGACGTTATTGTGCTTGCACTGACGATGAGTACTTCTTAATTGTCATCCTTCTGATGATTTATTTATCCGTTACTTTTTCAAAAAATTGCCTGTCTAATTTCTCCTCATCGTTGTTCAGATCGTTGCAATTTACCTCTTCAGAAGTGTCTTCTTCTGAGATTTTTTTTCGCTACTCAACTTTGAGTAACTTTCTTTATATGGTTTATTAGCGTTTTCTGGAACTTCTTAAATGAGCTGTTGAAAATTTTCAATTTTCAGCCGTCTAAACTCTTTAATATATCGCTAAATCTGGGTCGTTTTTTCTTAAATAATACAATACAATCGGATATAATATATAACACAACTTGTCTCTCAACAGATTGTGTTATATATTATATCGGATCATTTTCACGTTAATGATTTTGATTATTTGAATAGAAGATTGAATTGTTGTGAGTATTTGAACGAAGAGATTTGAAAACAACGTGTAAACTCGAAAACAACTGACTGAATGGATGACGTTTTCAGAGGTTTGTCAACATCGTCGACATTCGAGTCGAAAAACTGTTTGAGTGATACCAGTCTGAGGTCGTCATCGAACCTCGTGCCATCTTCATCCTCCTCCAAATCGATCTTCAACCAAAAGAACGCCACCTCCAGCGTTCAACATCCCCAACCAACAACGCATCGCATACAGCGCTTCATCACTTTCTTTTCTTCAAATGATCATCAGGTTTGTTTTTTTCTTTTTTTTTCAATTTGCAAACAAATTTGAAAGCTCTATCGCAAATATGTAAGCCTTTTTTTGCTTTATGATCTCCCTTAATGTGTTTTTTTGATTTGATTGATTGAATTTGGTTGGAGTTGTTGTCGATATATTTCTTGATGAAATGTCACAGAGGTTGGAGAAATTACCTGTCACAAGAGTTTTAATTATCTATCTTAAAATTGTTCGTTTATCATCAATAATTCCGTTCGCATATTTTCTGATTCACTGTCCAAGTGCATTCCGTTTTTCTTTTTCAAACTCAACTGCAACCGTGGATAGCAGTGTTTTTTTCGCCATAACGAAAGTATTACATTTGATGGTGTGACAAATCAAAATCAGCAGAGAATGGTGGAATTTCATTACATAAACTCATGATTCTAACAGGCATATAAGAGAAGCAGTTGTGTTTACAGACGTTATTTAAAAAGCTGCTGACATTTATTGCCACTAGTTCCCCAGTCTCCATAATTCGTATTTGTATTATTGCTGTTTTCGTAGTATTGTTGAAGTGTTATTGTGATGTGTTTTACATAATATTTTCAATTTGAACCAACCAATTTTCGTCACCTCCAAACGAACAATCCAGTAACAACTCATTAACAAATATGAAGTTCCCTCAAATATGACTGTTATTCAGTCTCATTCTCAGTTTACCGATTCCTTATGTGACTCACAGTGTTATGATGTTAACACCTCATAAGTGCTGTTGTAATTGCCAATGTGCTGCATTTAGCGTTGAAAATCTAGTTGAACAGGTTGGTAGCCACTTGTTTTAGATGTAAACATATTTTCTATTGGAACTAAATGGTAGTACTGATTGTTGGAAATGAGCGAATTATTCTTTTTTCAATTGATTTCATGAGAGTTGATTCAAAGTACCTAAATAAGCTCGGTAACCTCGTAAAGTCACGTTATGTTCATTTATTTTTGATCTTCCGTAATCTTTATTTTTCAAAAACTTCCAACACCAACGACTCATGCGTTATATGTGAGCAATATTTCGGTTCATTAAACTTTCATTCTCTCGGTGAGCTATGCACACTAACTAGTCGAGCAAAGCGATTATACTTTCAAGCAGACCTTTGTTCTCTTTTGTTCTAGATGCCAGGGGTAATTCTTTTTCAGTCGAATCTCTTCTGTGAAAAAGAGTTTGACCCTGTGCACTGATTGAGTTACTGCATATTGTGAAGCATTATGTCGCAGAGTAAGCCGTAGACTTGACGTAAGTGTTTCCAGAACAAGCAGCAACATTCAAGCGGTTCGCTGGCATCGCCGTCGAGTGGATACGTTGGCAAACAGTACGTGAAACGATCAACCACTGGGGTACTAAACAATAGTAGTTCAGCACATTCGTTATTCATTCCCATCAAAGCAAAAGATGTTCGTAAACAAGGACAATTGATACATCAGGTTAGCACATCATGAATCATTTTGTTCACGTTCTCCACTCACTGAACCTTGTTGAATTCACTTCTTGCAAGCATCTGACATTTATTTGCGAGTCCCCATTTATTATTCTCGCAATCTAATGTGGGCTGATTGATGAAGTGTTTCGTTTACGTTATAAAGTTGTTTAGATGCGACGACTTCAAAGTACAAAATAATGATGAAGTATCGTTTTGATATGAATGGAATAAGCGTTAAGACACTATTTCGCGATGTGATCCGTTTATTAAGAAGGCGTTTTTTGAGTGACAATAGCGAAATGACGTTGCTTTTGTTGTTGTTGTTGTTGTTGTTGTAAACAACTCGTATTCAATTCCCATCATTTTATTTATATGACTGTGTGAAAATTTTCAACAATCTCACTATGAAGCACTTTTTCCTTAGATTAATACCTGTCAATACGTTTTCAATGCCGTTATATCTATGCACACACAAATATACATATACACAACCTACCTTTGCATACGTTTTGATGATAAATTAGTAGAAAAAGAAACGACAAATATGTAATGAAACAAAGAGATTGGACTGTTGCAGGGAACCGTTTTTTCAAAAAATGTGAATTGCATTTACAGTGGTGCGGAAATAATGAATAATTTTATTGTCGTGATGATTCGTTGCTTAAAAATATGTATGTGAAAGAAAAAATATCGCAGAGTATGTGGAAAACACTTTTGAAAGTGGAAAACTTTCCGAGAACCTACCAAACAGCTTCACTGCAGCAGTTGAAATTCTTTTATTAACTTTAGTTTTTTGAAGTCGTAATTCGTTTATGATGCGTGTAAAATGCCAACAGATTAGGCGTTTAGGTTTGTGAAGCGATATTTGCCGTGAGTTGTTTCCGTAGGTTTCAAACTAGATTCGTTAATTTTAGGTTTCGTAAGTGTGCATATCATATTTCCTTCACAGTGTATTTTCATATAAACATAAAATTCCATGATGATAACAGTGGTATTGCATATAAGTGAACATTTGCATTGCATGAAAGATTTCGTTCAGGAAACTGCGCTTGGTGATTCGTCGAAGTACGATCCGAGGCGTTGGGAACAATGTTGGGCTGTATTGCACGCGTATAACTTGTATTTATGCCGACAACTCAGTTCGTATGTTAGTGATGAAAGTCAAGAGAAGGTTCGTTTTATTCTTTATCACTGCACTGAATCGTTTAATCGCTTTATCGTTTTTATTTGTTCACTCGAGGTGTTGACGTGCTCTCAGTAGCGCTGATAAATCTTAAGAATTTTTGTGGATCTGGCAAATGCTATCTGGAATGTTCCATGACTGCAATGAACTTGTGTTACTACGTTGTTTTTCTTTTCTTTTTGTCTTCGCTTCAATCTGATTATGACAGCCAGGAGTGAAATAGAACTGATTAAAACCAATTGATTGATTACAAAACAAAGAGATCGATGAACTTTGTTAAAGGTTACTGTGTAACAACACGTTCACTGTTATTTTCAAATTGTTGATTGTTTTCGGTTAGGTGGCTCAGTAAATCATGTGCTTTACTGATCGTATTTGTTCGCAACTGATAAATTTGATGAAAAGTTGTTATCATTAATCAAACTCGTCAGTGCTATTGTGATAGTCCAAAATGTATCTATCCCCACTGGTTTGCTGCCGTACAGTTGGATTGCTTTCTTTGATCTGTAGTATGTAGCAAACATTCTCTGCATTGTACCTTCATGCAAGGCTCGGTCTATTTGTAACTCAACTCATCACCTCATTAAAACAAATGATGAAATGAACAAAACGATTTTTGTGTATCAGCGCGATTGAATATCATAATTAACTCAATTGCGATCGTGTTCCTCAGCTGATTACCTTGATTGTGAGCGATTATTATTCGTCATATGCACATCACTTAACTTAATTAATTCCTTTCATATTTCATATTCCTTTCATCTTTGCCTATTGTCTCTTCTGTTGTCAGTCAAATCAGCTTGTTTGCTATATATCGCACGCACTCACATATCACGAGCCGGAAATGCAAATAAGCGTATTTCTATTATTATGCAGACTATGAAACGAGTGAACATAGGAACGCATAATTGAAAGTCAGTTAAACTTGGATGTTTGTCGTGCCGATCAAAAGATTGTTCATTATGAACTGAACATGAAATTATTGAAAGCGTATTTCATCAAACACCTCGATTGTTAATTTATCAGGGGATAGACGAAACACCGTAAGTAATACCTCCACTTCAGTGGAATTGTATCGAAACAGACAGATTTGCAAATCTTTTTATGTACATATTACTTTATATCATAAAGTAATATGTACATAAAAAGATTATCAAGTGATCTATGCGAATGTCAAAATCCAGTTTCTAGTAATTTTCGTGTGTGTCCGTTCAATTATGATCGAGCGCATTTTTAGTAATGTAGTAAAACGTGCTTCTATTGCATTCATTCACTAATCGTTCATTTATTTCACGATTTTTTCACTGATTGATGGAATTTATTTGCGAATGCGATTATTCTACATAACTTTGAATCCAACCAAACTTTTCGACTAGTGCACCCGTTTTTGTTCATTTATGCAACAGTAATTACTGCTTTTTTGGAGGAATGAATTGAATAGTTGGTACGGTACAGTTTGAGGTTCGTAGTTCGTACAGTACATTCGTTCTAGTGTTCACTCTGTTGCCATACTGTTTTCGTGGTGCTCAAAGCAGTGTATTTCCTCAACAATGTATTCCTTTTTTGTACTTCTCGATGTCATCTGAATTGTGTCTCTTCCCTCCTCCTCCTCGTAACGCTCCTCCATCTCAAATTCCAACGAGTATTTCCTATTTTCGAACCGGTTATGAGAACGAATCGAGCGAGCTTTTCCGCCTTCATGCATTTGTTGTTGTCAAAAAGCATCGAAATCGATGCGTTTCGTTTATGGTATATAAACATTCGCACATTCAACACGACAAAATACAAGCAAACAAATCGAATCGTAATTCAGTGATGCATCATTCCAATTGCGATTCATTATCCGTTATACTCATTTGTCTGTTCATTTATGTGTTGTATATGTTGTATTCACCAATTCTCATTTCATTCCTTTTGCATTTCGAACGCATAATGCATGTTCATGTCCAATACATCCTTAACGAAATCAAATTATAATATTTAATTGAATTGTATTCATTCTATTGTGCATTTACGTAGTATATGGTGAATGCATCGAACGTAATTTGACTAATTAATTGGTGTATTATTTATGTGTATTTTGTTATGATGCCATATCATCGAAATTGTATTCATTCCACAAAATTAATGTGGAGATTCGATTAGAAATGACTTCACTTGATCATTGCATCAGAACATAGTTTCCATTGATCATTTACAGTTACTCATTCGGTTGCATCAGATTCGTTTTTGACCGTATGCTGCACAATTCATACTAAAATATTATTATCGTTATCAATGTTATGATTATTTTTATTGCCCTAGCAGTAATAATTATCATCGTTCACCTATCTTATCCTCATTCCTTAAGTGTCATCAGTATTGCTCTAATCTTTTGATTATCAAGAGACATTGGTAGAACATAACCATAGATTCGCATGACTTGTATTAATGCTATTGTAAAAGTGATGTTGAATGGTACAAGTCAATTATACTTATTCAAGTCAATTATTGCTATTCTTGTAAGTTATGCATTCACAGTGAAAACGTAACGTTCTCAATTGTTGTAAAATTGTTTGAGTTGCAATTATTCATATTTGATGACTGGCTGAATGGGATGCGAATCACTATTATTACTTGATTCATTGTTGATTCGATCATTTCCTGGACAACAATTACGTTGTCGTTTGGTTGTGTTGAATCGTTGAAAGGTAGTTCTTGTAGTTCACTATCGATATGGTTATATTGTATTGTGTGGTTATATTTGAACAAAACTTCAGTCGTCTATTCAATGGGTTGTTAATGTGTACCAAAATATAACTTGTTTTACAGCTTTATTTATAGGCCATATTGGTGTAAAGATGTTACAGTTGTGTTGTGTTCGCTTGTTCGTTCAGTTGAAATTGTCGTCTTGAGTTCGCGAAAAATAGTGTTCCTATCATACAGAATGTGTAATTGTTTTGTAGTTGTTTGATTCGATGAATTTGTTGGTCGGTCTTTGCTGATAACGTATATATGTAATATTTGTGTGGACGGAAGACGGTCTATGATATTGCTTATATGAAATGACAGCGCTAAGAGGATTTGGTGTGAATCGGATGAGTTAGCTCATAAACTGGAAATTTGGCATGTATCAGATCAGTTAGTTCATAGAAGGAATCAGTATGATTTTGAAAATCAGCTCTACGAGGCATTCAACGTTCGTTGTTGAGAAAATTCTACGATAAGAATTATAGGATAGCAAGGGCGAAAAAATCAAAAGATGATTATTTAGTGAGGATATCTATTATAATAGTGAGTTCAAAAAGTACTTTAGATCTGCAGCGTTGAATTTTTGTGAATTTTGTGTACATTTTGTGATCAGCCAACTGTTTTGTGAGAAAAAACCACTTTATTGCGATGGATTGTGTATCTGAACGGACTGATTTTATTGATGGTCGACTTGATTAAGTGATTTGGAATGTGTTTATTTGTGGCTGTGAAATAGCTGGAGTCTTCTCGAAAATACTCTAATCGACAATTGATATTGCGATGAGTAGCGGATAGATGTTAATGATGCGCACATCAAATGAACTTTTCGTTTACTCATCTGTGTGTTGTTGACGTCAACTCCAACGATTTTTTGAATTGATGCGGTGGATCTGCCGTGAACGATGTGACATGAAAGTAATTCGTTCCTTGCAAATGGAATCTTTTTTCAATCACAATTTTGTACTGGCTCTGATTGGTGCCTAGTGCATTGATATTCATCTTCTTGCTGTGCAAGTGTGTGCATTGTTGTTGTTATAGCTGCTGCTGTGTTGTACTATTGGGATTATTACGTCAAATGTGTGTGGTGTACAAATGTTATATAAGCCAAGTGTGATCCATTATATGAAATGTGTGATTGGATTCGGTGCTTACACACGCTTATCTCGGCTTAATCCATCTTTATGGTTGTGACAGACAGCTCGGTCGCATTAACTCACTCGTTCATCTTCTGTAGTCGTCATCCATTCACTTCAAATCTGTATCTGAATTGCTCTAGGGAATTTTCGCACATTGTTAGAAACAAATGAATGTGTTTATTCGAAGTGAATGGGTACTTCTTGGTGGTTGTTTTATCGGAGAACAGCTCACTTTATCGCTCCGTATCATCTTTGTTCCCGATTGTTTTCGTGATTTGGCTGTGTCTGTGGTAAAATTTCTTGTTCATTCAAGTTATGACGAATGTCTTAATTTTTAAGCTTTGCGTTGATTTTGATGAATCAGTGAAGTGTATTTTGGTGGTGGGCGATGTTCATGAAAAATGTGATTGAATTTCAGATTTTAAACATTCCCGCAGATTCGCTTACGATCGATATTCGGTCATCGATTGTGGATATTGCATACGAATTACGTCAACGTAAAGATGAACAACGTGCACACGTGCTAAGGGTTGTTACACAACGCCGTACTGAACACCTTCTTCAAGCCGAAAGGTTTCGTTTTTGCTGATCATGAATTGAAAATGAACATTCACTGTGGGGCGGTAATAAGTAGTGACTTAAAACTGACTGGATTGGATTGGTAGAAGAAGAATGAGTGATAATTGTTGTTGGTTGAAGTGAGGGTGAAATGCTGAAGTGGATTGACAATATTCGAAATGCGTCGTCTTCTTATGTGCTCACGAATGCTGCGGCTACAGCAGCAGCAATAGCGCCACCCGCTGACAATAAGCGTGCAACCACAACACCGACGTTGCACCGCGCCCGAGCTACCAAGGCCAATTCCGCTGATTCTGTACGTTTTAAACATTCATTGTGCTTTGTTTCATTTGTGCGATTTTTTTGTGAACAATTCATTTCATTGTTGCAATGCAATTTCATTCATAATTGCACTGCAAAACAATTTCGGTCTTATGTCAATTAACTTTCAAAGTGAATTTCAGTTTATTTTCTATTCGTGTTTTGTGTACGTTATAGCTGTTGTGCGAAGCGCGTTTACGTATCGATTCTATCAACAATTTCAATCTTGAGCGATTCATCATTTCTCTTAATTTCGTTGTCTTCTCGTCGCACACACTCACATACCCGTAAACACATAGAATAATTGTAAAATTGAGGAGGAGAGGATGTAGGCAAAAAGAATTTCTTCGATTTCATGAGTATATTTCATGAGTGAATATCGAATCGGAATTAAGTATTACTTAGTGGATTACGCTGGTTGTGATGAGTATGATGTAGATGAGAAATACTTGCAACGTAGAGTGTTGAGTAAGCAGGCGGGTGATGTTGTAAGCTGGTTAGAATAATTTAGAAGCGTAAAATGTAGAAGGGGTAGGTAGCGGATGCAACATTGATAATGGTGACACTTAATTATGTGTTGTTGTTATTGGTGAAGTTGATTGGAAATTTTAATGAAGACAACACAACGAGTCAATCGATGAATAGATTGAACGAATTAGGTATTTTATTAAATTTATGTTTTGTTAGTCATCGATTTTCATAGCAGACATAACAACTCTCTTTTGGTCACTGCAGTAAATGTCATCACTACTGATATTCATTCATTCATTCATATTGGACGTGTTCTTCAGCATTGAATAATCCTCGTATTCTTAAATCTAATTCCCCTTGTAACTACTCAGCTGTACGTTGGTTGTTCATATCCATCGAACATCCGTAATTGGTTCGGTTGATCCTCGATGCTATACTCATTTTCAGCGAATCTTTCCTTTGCAGTCAATGCATTATCTGATCTCATCATAAAATCTTTTGTAATTTATTTAATTCTTCTCAGTTGGCTATTTTAAAAGAAGTGAATAATATCGAGTTAGAGAAGTGAATAATATCAAATTCTGCGAATAATATCAAGTTAGTTGTGATTTGTGGTTCTGATCTCAATAATGTGCTGACGATGATTTTGATTTTCATTCACATCTTTTAAAATTAGCCTACTGATGATTTGTTCATACGAACAGATCAACTTCCTTCCCCTATTTTCCACGCAATTATCCTCAAATACTTCCTTTCGCCTTCGTCAGGTTCAATAGCAAAGTAGGCGTAGATTTCACCCAAAACTTTCGTTAAACTGTGGCTGGCTGTTTCCGACGTCTAAATTGCGGATGATGGCTTGACATACGCTTACGTTCCGTTTATCTGTTCCTTGATCTCTTCGCGTAATCTATTCCGAGCCATATATTATGACTATCCGAGCCAAATTATCACTCATTTCAAATTATCCACATCTCTAGCGATTACCGGCGCACATTAATATAATCCGAACGAATCGATGCGTGCAAAATGTCGCTGTCTGCTGAAATGTACGTGATGAGATGTGTGTTGGGTTGTGTGTCCATTGAATCAGATGTGTGCATCTATCAATCTCGATTAGTTTCTCTGAAGTCGAGGGTGAGGGAGAAAATGGTTGCTATTCACAGGCGAGACTCTCAATTCATTATTTTCAGCTTCTAATTCCCCATACGCTCTGTGTCATCTCTGATTATTTATCATGATGATAATGGGAAGCGAGCGACTATGCCCATTTGACAGGAGTATCTTTCGGTTTCTTCAAAAAAAGATCTCTGTAAAAATAATCTGTTCACTCTCCTGGTTCTAGTCTAGGTGTTTATTCATAGGATTCCAATGCAGGATAGTTTATCTGACAACGACATTACATATTTAAAATGGTGTAATGAAAGTAATGTCTTTCTGCGTGTTTTATGTCAATGTGAAAATGTAGATTTATGCATACTTTTGTATAATATGGAGTGTCTCCTCAAAGACTGTTCATTGTCGAATCGTTCAGTTGATGCTGTACAAATTGTTAGCACCTGATTGCAGTCACATACAAACGATACCGCAACACGACATTATACACATTCAAAGGTGACATTAGTGAGTTGATTGATGAACAAATCAGTGGAGTGATATACGAAGGATTCTCAAGCGTAATCCATTTAGATGAATGGTCAATTGGCAGCCTGAAAGCACCGTGTTTATGGCCTGGCCTAGTTCACAGCTTTGTGCAGTCAAGTGTAACCGAAGAGAGCAGCAATTCATACACATAGACAGGCACACACAAATCAACTATGATTCATCCATCTAACGCCTAAACATGCTCATCCATGTGAATGCAGTCAGTCATCTGTCCTGAATATATGCATGCCTCTATCCATGTCCTCCTTACTTCAATCCATCCTCATATAGCCGTCACCGAATTGGATGCGCGCTGTTGCACCATTGCACATTGCGGTATTACATCATCTGTCACTCGACATTTCGATTTTATTCGCTCCGATTCTCGTTTTCGCCTGTTATTGATATGTGCTCATTTTTGCTGCTCTGTGTGATATCTTCGTGCAGCCACGCTTAAAACACATACGCCGTCTTCGTGTATGTTTAACAACAGCTGCCATATACATACATATCTGCATAAATCTATCTATAGAGCCGTCTATCCACTTCTATTCCCGATATCAATCACCCTTTCATCTGACGTTCATTTGCTCGATCGAACGAAGCGTGTAGATTCAGCGATTCATTGATATCCTCCGTATCGACAAGAACGTAGTCTTCTGAGAACGACACCACACAGGCGACGACAACATGCGCTGTCCCACACATTCACAGACGCAGTATCCAGCATCTTGCAAATACAGATTTATGAATACTATGAACAAGCACACGCATA